CATCCGTCAGTTATGCGATGTAGACATACACCGTTGTAGCCGACTTCAGTTACACGCGGAGGGCTGAAAACCATGTTTGTTTATGTTTCTATTTCATTCGATTTTGGAAAATTATTGTTTGATTTCCCCATTTGCCAATCGAGTGGAATACGAGTCAACGGCTCTGTGAGGTTAGGCCCGATCGAAGGTTTCTTCGATGATCTCCGGCGTAGCCATTTTATCCGGCGATTTCTCCTTCGCAACACTAAATAATATCTCATCTCATGGAAGATTTTGGTTATTGGTCTGTAGAAAATGTAGCGTTCAAGATATAATCAAATTTCCCAATCAAAGAAGGGTGCTAAAAGAAGGATGCATAGCTCTTTCACAGCAAACTGCTGATACAACTGTCGAAGACGAAAGAGCATTCACTTGTATCCGGACAGTTTAAATTGTTTCTGGTTTGTGAACTTTTGTCTCCCGGCCTTCTGTCGCATTAGCTGTTTGTTTGGATTTCATTTACAGAGCTACAAGTTCTAGATTTTTTAAAACAATGATGGGTAAGGTGCGAAAAGGTGACGTTTGAATGTGTCGAGTAATGCTATTCTCAGTCTGTATACCTATTCTCCCACAACCCACTGTCAGCATTCACGGTTGTCGCTTGATATACAGACACGACAGCAATAAATGCGTAGGTTTGTCATTACCGTTGCAGATCGCGCTATTTTGATTAGTGCTGTTTATCCCCACATTCATCATCGCGTATTTTCTAAGCCCGTTGCCTTTTCTCAGTACGTTACTGGTATGCTAATCCAGTTTCATGTTACAGGCTGTTTAAAATCCATGCCCTTTGACTTGTAACTTTGCCCCAAGCTCATTTTTTCAGGGCTTTCAGAAATCTGGATGCGCAAGAGAAACCTGTGGCACACACCTTTAGTTAGCGAGACCCTGAGGGAGATGATGCATCTTGCTTTTACGACTATTTTTATCCGCTTCTATGATTTAACCCCGGACAGTGTATCGAATATGATTTGAAAAGTTGGAGATTCTATGCATAATAAGTTAATTAAAATAATTTCCTACGAGATTTCTATGATTTTATACGTCGATCATGAGAAGAGAATCGTACTACCTTCAGAGTGCTGATGACATGAATGATCAGGGTATTTCGCAGGCTTTCAAATTCAAAGTGCCATGAAGGGTGCGCGATTATTTCTTTCCGTTCCGTACATCATTCATCAGACACCGTCTTGTCTTTCAGTTTGTTCTACTTAAGATTCGTCATCTTTCTGTTCGAACGGTATGATGAATAGCAGGGAACAATTTTTATGTGGAATCAATATGGACATAGCTCCATCTACCATCCTTCCTTCCTGGTTTGCGATAATGTTATGTCCTTCTCGTAACGCAAAACTCTTTCACGATCAGATTTCGCCGCGTATTACACCGTCTTCTTGCTACTAGTTATCTATGGTGGAATTTAAGCAGACCACCACAGTGTCCTCATAGGCAAGGCTTTCACAGAAGATAAAGAAGTCTGTCAACTACCAATAGTTACCGTTGTGTCACTGTACTCTCTCCGCGGATTGGACACTGATATTCGATCTTAAAGAGTTGCTTGTTTTATGTTGTTTATCAATTATTTAAAAAGAGTGGAGTCAAGGATTCATTACTAAAAAGGCGTAGATCTTTTGACGCGAAGTAACACACGCTTTTTTCTTGACTATTATTGTTTTAGATCTGCGCAAGCAAGAAACACCGATGCCGTAATCATGGTTGATCACCCGGTCGTTCACGGACTGCCTGAAAATGCTCAAGTACGTACCGGTAGTTTAATTGCGACGGTGTTCGTCTTGGTGTAGCTAAAGCTTAGATTAACATTACAACGATTTTCTGTAGGAAAATCTTCGGCTGCTCAGGGTTCGAGTGGTTCGCGGCATCGATCTGGCAAAGAAGGACATATTTGGTGCAAGGTGAGTAGACGTCGACGTCGAATCGGTTCTATAGTTGCATTCAATAGTTTCAGCGATCCGTACGTGAAAGTTCATCTTTACAAAGACAATAGGCAAATTTGCACTGTACAAACGAAGACCATCAAAAAAGTATGCTGACTTTGTGTCGTTTTTTGTCGTTCTAATCATTCATGCTTCTTACATGATTTCTTTCTTGCATATACACTTTTTTACGGAATTAATCGTAATCATCCGCGTAATCATCACCGTTGATAAGTTGAATTTCTGTGCATTAAATGTGGCCAGACAGTAGATGAGCGTTTTAGCGCAATTATGTGAGAAATTTGCATCTATGTGGAATGTGTACAGAACAAAAGTGCAAAAAATCAAAATGCACTTTTAATTCGTGAAATAAGTCACAGTGACAAATTGTTTCCTTGATGACATTTATGGATCTACAAGAACGAAGACAACCTCTAAGTTTTTCATTTGCATCAATGCCTTTGATTCATGTATGACTTCCTCCCCCCTTATGGAAGGGAACAAAGGACCGTTTCTTGGCATCTTTCGAATATGATGAGTGCTGAACGGTGTATTACCGTGCTTATTGACCGGAACTAGTATTGAAGTATTATTGAACTGTTGACCTTTTTGTTTATAAAGTTAAACGGATGTTTCGTTACTTGGTGGTTGAAGACTAAACCGGGACTCATAAAAACAGAAATTTCTCACGTAAATATTTCAGGTATATGCTTTCCATCGTTGTTCAATTAATTTAATTAGAATTGCCAGTGAACGTTAAATTAGTACATGTTCTGGTTTAAGCCCGCTCTCAACAACATGTTTATGTGGTTGACATTTTTGACATCCTCATAACTTCATAAACTATCATCAGTGTGATAGTCACTATAGCCTGTTGCTGCTGTTTTGTTTGACATGTGTACGTTGTTATTTATTTTCTTCCTTTAGAGTCTACATCCGGTGTGGAACGAAGAATACATATTCAGAGTAAGTGATTCTGTTTTGGTTCAATTTATGAGTTTGCTGTTATCCTTTTTTTTCAGGTCGATCCGTCGTGTAAAGTGATTTTCGAAGTTTTCGACGAAAACCGAATTGTAAGTTACGATACCCATGCACCACCGCTGTGATTGATACCGTATTTGTTGTAGACTCGGGATGACTTCCTTGGCACGGTCGAAATCGAATTGAAAAGCGTGAGAATTCCCCGCGAGCGTCCCGGTCGGGCGATCAGGGAAAAGAACTGTGCACTTCGACCAAGAAGGTGGATAAAGAAGTTTTATAATGAGTTGACGAAAGGAGTATTTAAAAATGTACTCTAGTAGTCGAAAAGGTTCTTCGTTCATTTTTTTTCTAATTCTGCTTTTCTTACCTGGTCTTTGGTCAATAGTTTCAAAATATTTTCCAGTTTTCCTGAGAATCGTACATGCTTTCGAGCGTTGAATCATGAAGCTGGAGCGGTTGCCTTCACTACCAACGTTCGAACTTTTAACTTCCAGTTTAAAAGACGTTTTTAACGGAAGTTTTTTGCTTCGCCAAGTACTGCACAAAAATTACTAAAAATGCAAACGTGCGTTATATGCTCTCTCGGCTGCATCGACTTCTTATTCCCGACCGAAACTATCTTCTGTGCTTGCATAATTTTGGAATTTAGTTTTGGTCCGGTCCACTAACAGCTGTGCTAATATAACCTGTTTGAATCATTTAGCAGTCAAGCTCTTCTTTTCTACAGGCATTTTGGATGATAGTTTATGTTGCAATTCGGTAATAGTCGGTTATTAATGGTTTATGATATAGTCACATTGGTCTTATTTGTATGTATGGTCTCACACGATGAATTTAGAGCAGTTCATTGCTTTTAGTTTCAAGTCCAGGGTGCGCGGCGAACTTCGTCTGTCTTTATCTTACGTCGCAACCGATCCGTCGACCGCTAACTTAACGGAAACAGAGAACAACGAAACGGACACTGACAGCGTAATCGTTTACTATTTAATTTTGCGTATTTGATTTATGCATTGGTAGTTATACTGAAAACAGCACAAAATGCGATTTATTTGTACGCAACAGAGAATTAGATCAATCAGAAGATTCGAAGATCCTTTTGTAGTTTGCTTGCAGCAGTTCGTACGTTCCAAAACCAAAGGCCTTCTGGAGCTGATCCACCTATCTAACTTGAAAATGGCCCATGAGGCACGGGCCAAAATGTCGGTGCTGGTCAGTCATCATTCCATTGGCCAAACTGTTTGCGTTGTAGATTAATATTTTGTATATATTATGTAATTATAATATATTTTGTGCTGTTTATACTGTTTAGTTGTTAGTTTTAAATTACAAATAGAAATGATTATGATAATTTAGTTTTGCTAGTAATAGTTTTTGTATTGCCTCCCTGCATAACATATATACTTGGCCGTTCCCCGCATTCTCTCAGCGTTGACAGCACGTGCTTTTTTCTAGTAGTCTTCACTGCAACATAAACAGACTAGTCTTTAGATACTGGTAAATCCGCAGATCCGCATCTCTGAATTGGTTCGAACGAAAATATGTTCGAACACCAAGTGAAACGGCCAACACGTTAGAGATTTACGTATATGTACCGCAAACAACAGACTGCCATGGCGCCTGGTCTGCATAAAGGGTCCCCTAAGTCACCAAAGGGATGGTGCGATTACTCTGAGCGAATCCAGCTAAGCGATTCAGATAACTTAGAAAATATTCACATACTTTTTGCACCACCCGTTTTAGATATGTGCCTGAGATATACATCTGATAACGCTCCTCTGTGCCTTCGATTAAATAATAATTTGTACATTGCATCCTCTTTTCCTTTCATTGACGCAATCGATGGCCACATGAAATAGTGCTGAGATAAATGTATCTCTTGTTGGATGACCCTTTTCATTTCTAATGAGTGTAACATAGATTCTTCTCTTTTCTGCTCACGTGCTCACCTTTTTGGATAGTTATCTAAAGGCGATGATGGGTGCAGTAAAGTTGCTTTTCACGAATTGATCTGCATATTTATTTGCAGGACGT